AAAATAAGTGAGATCAATTTTCCTGTTTCTAAGAAAAAACATAACTTGACCTTTTCATAGTAATATGACCTTACCTTTGGTATTTCTTAATATAATGAAGATAATTACGTCGAACAATTATAGTCCTCGACATCTTGGCACTGTGGCAAGTACCAGAGAGAATGCGACCCCTGATGGAGACATTGCCGGTGAAGGGGCATTTCTTATCAATATAAGTTCCTACAGTTACAGGCAGGCAACTCTTTCAGCCATAAGATGAACACCAAAGTTGATATCCCAAGTCATTTGACCATAAGGTTTACAGAAGAACTTCAAACAAGACTCTGCCTCCCACTCCACTCAAATCACAGAACACTCAAACTATACACACGAAATGCTAACAAGCAACATTCAATCGCTTTACAGAACAACTTCAAACAAGACTCTGCCTCCCACTCCACTCAAATCACAGAACACTCAAACTGTACACACGAAATGCTAACAAGGAACATTCAATCCCTGAATAATAATTAATAGTCCAGAGCACTTCATGGTATATCTAATTAAGCATAGACATGAACCAAACTCAGCAGATGTCACCTATTAAGTTGAGCGACATTGACATTTACTACATTATTCCAAAATAAAACATGATGTCAATTCCGGTTTAGAGGCATTATCCACCCTCTTGATGTCTGAAATTTAAGCTCATTGTAGAGAAACATAAGTTTAAACCAATTATAAGAGTTCAGTCTAACAATCGTAGCCCGCTGCAAACATCTAGCTAACGTAGTAAAATGCTTCACTATTCAAAGAGACTAATAAAAAAAACAGGAAATTGGACCAAATGCACAACAATTTGAAACAACCACAACCCAAAAATGAATAGCAACCATGAGTAAAGTAAACTGTAAAACAAATAAGAGATTAAGTTAAACCTTCAATAGCGTCTCTGGGTGTCTTGAACCCCAACCCAACACTCTTCCAGAAGCGATTGCCTCCTTTCCCTGGCCTCTTTCCTTTCCCTGTCTTCTTTGAGCTGCAAAATTTTACATCACATCAATATGTTAGCCACCACCGCATCCATTTCATTCTCTCAACGACTTAACAGTTATTTTATTTCTATAAAAAAAATCATTAGATTTCAGCTGAAGCAGATAAACAAGAACACGCGCTATATCGGATCTCAATTTCTGAAATAACTAAAACGAAAAGATTTTGAAACCACTGGCTTACCTCAGGAAAACCTTGGGTTGCTTCAAGAAAGCCTTCTCGGTCTGAAGCACACACACGCATAAAACGATGAATTAGTAACAGCGAAGTGAGTTGAATTAGAGCCTATTTCTGACAGAGGGAAGCTTAGAGAGAGAAGTAGAGGGATCTACCTGTTCCGCCATTTTCAAGCTGCTTTGTGGAGACTGGTTGAAGCCGACGCCGTGGAGGGAGACTGATGAGCAAAAACCCTAATCTATGCGGAAACGAAAAGGGCGATGCTTGAGGCGAATATATGTGGAACCCTAATCGCTGCAATGACTAAAATGGCCTTGGAACAGAAATAAGAAAAACTTGAATTGGGCCTTTTTTCTTCTTCTTTTAATTTCGGCCTTTTGGGCTCGCAATTGTTTATTTTGGGTTTGAGGAGAAAGAGAGGAGGGACAACATAATCAAGTTAAAATTTTGGGTCAATATTAAGTTAAACCCAAACACCTTAATGCTTGATCCCTAAGCCCAGAGCTTTGGTGTGGTGA